ATATGAAGCTTGAACACAAATCCAAAGAACAAGTTCCATCAAGTCAATAGTTTGTCATTATCATAACCATCTAAATAGAACAATAAAGGTGAAAAATCAAAAATACATTTAGCCGATTCCCTGAAGGTCTTCAGTTAGGTAAGAAGGAAAACTTGGTGCGTGGCCATGCAAGCCTTATTCTAATATCACAGTGCTATTTTCACTGGATTGATTTTAAGCTGGTAAATCAATTCCCAATGACCATTACTTTAGTCTAATTTTTAAGATATTGGTCGATAAGATAAGAGGAAATAAAACATCTATAGGATCATCTAGCAATAATTTTGAGATCACCAAATATATCTAGTTTTGGTCCCTAGCAGATAAGCACAAAACCTCTTATTATAACTTTTTATGCGTGAAAGAATGAGAAAATAATATATGGGCAAATATATATATAAATGAGAACATTTCGTTTGGACTCGAATGCTTAATTAGCCCAATTATCATATCCAGTCAACATTAAGCAAACTCCAAATTAAATATGTTTGAACATCTTCAACCTTCCACAAACTGAAGCAGTCATGCTTTATGTATTCTAAAATAGAGCAGTCTATGGATACGCCACTTTATTTATTTATTTTTTCAATTATTTTATTATTTTCACTAGATAAAGAAATCCATTGATCTCTAAAAAAATCTTCTAGCCTTTGTTGAATTCTAAAGTGAGAACACGAACAGCTGCAATGACCTGGCCATTTCTATTTCTTAAATTAGACTCTGTCCATATCTCTGACCTTGCTTTCAAATTTGGAGGCTTCAAGTCAAAGTTCTTAAATTTGTGTTGGATTTAGGACTATCATTATCTCAGTTTAGGGAAAAAATTTTGCACACGTTGTCCATACGCGAGTTATGTACGGACAACGGACGTGATAGACCGGCACAAAAAAAGAAATCTAGCCAGTGCATCGCGTCGGTCGTCAGTTCGTGGCTCGCGTATGGACGACGACGTAAAATTTCTCGAGTTTAGGAGACTTTTCTTGCTCAAATTTTGTAAATTATTTAATATACATTCTATTACTAAGTCTTAAAAAAAGGCCTTAGAAGAACTATGGTTATTGTCCAAGTCAAACTCACCGTTCAAATTGCATTGAGATCGAGATCCAGTTCTAACATCTATCATTTGAGTTCTCACATCTATATAAGAAGAGCTTCATAACTTCACTCTCTACCTTCTCTTTTCTTCTCTGCAAAAGTTGAGTTTCACAGACTTTCTCCAGTTATTTAACACTTCCACTAGCTGCATATCTTTTCTGAAGCATTTAAAGATGAGTTCCATCAAAGCTATGGGTCTATTCTTCTTCACCTTCTTTTTGTCTGGGCTACTGCAGCTCTCACATGGTCAGATCATGCCTTCTTCCCTAGCAGTTGGTCTGCCGCAGATGAACCATGATGGCAAAATGATTGATCAGGGAATTGCTTATGCTCTCATGCTCATCGCACTTGTTGTTACTTATTTGGTTCACTGATCATGAATTGTCATTAAGTCTTAGAAAATTATTAGTTTCTTAAGGTTAAGTTTTGAGATCCTATTGTTCTTGATCCAACCAATCTGAAATGATTTACACAATGTCTGTTCATTTTATTTTTCATGTGGAGCTACATATGCTCGTTGTATTTCTTCTTTATCTAGAAGAATAAAAGAAGAAAATTTAGACTTTTGAATTTTATCTTGTCGTGATCATTTGTGATGAACCCAAAAATTCATGGGATGTTGTTCTGTACACCATCTTTTGTAGCATTTTATAAGCCTTGCGGAATCTGAATTCTTTGGACCCATTCAGAAGGTTATCTTCACCACAAACACCAAGGAAAAATGAGATTATTCTGTAAAAAGTCAGCTGAAAAACTACCAAATGTGTTGATAAATTAACAATATGTTATATATAAAATTTCACAAAAATAAATAAAAAACGAGATTATTGAATGAAGTTGAAATATATAATACAAAATATTAAATGGTTTGATTTTCATTTAAGTTAAAACATGAAAATAAATGTTTAAGTACATAAATAAAATAATATAAAACAATTATCTCATCTCTCTCCTCCTTTCTTTTTGTGAGCTGCTACCTCTTCTCTACTAATTCAAAGCTACATTGATCTTCACATGTATCATTCATGTGCATTTGTAAATCCTTAGTCATTGTACCAATATGTCGCCTCATCATTTCTCATAGCTTTTCTCCTACATAATGAAAATAAGCTATAAAGGATCATTATGTATGCCTTCAAGTTTTGTCCATAAACTCTCCATGTATTCCTTCTTTCCTCCCACAAACTTGCACCGCCATTCAAAATGTGACTGTTGAGATGATCCACCTAAACATAATTCATCCCTACAAAAGTATTATAATGTATTTCTCTAGACAACATGCAATAATTATGTAAGAAAATAATATTAATTATAAATATTTATAAAATGTTTAAAATTAGTATTTGAATTATGAATATTTATAATCATATAAATTCCATGGTTTCCTTCTTTCTTTAATGAGTGATAAACGATAACATCGTCACAGTAGAATCCTTCCATCATTTCCTTTTGCAAAAGTACTTATAAGTTAACCATAATTTTTTTTTTTTAAAAAAAAGCTAAATGTGCTTATTATTATCTTTCTATATATCTTAAATTTAATGTGTGAAATGCTTTCAGTATAGAGAGAGTTGTCCATGCCCTATAGTTAAAATCAATATAAAATTATAT